TTCGTCTTTCCTCGGCATTCGTAGGTGCCGCGGTCCGTTCTATTGACCTTGCTGATCTCCAGATACTTAAGACTTCCATCTGCTCGCACATGAATTCTTTGTGATGAGTCACTGGTTATTTTTCGTCCGCTGGAGTCAAACCATCCAGTGAACGCTTCGTCTGTCACCGAGCAGTTAATACTGGTTTTGTCGCCCTCGGGGGCATTATGTCTTGCACTCACTGAGACAGCACCCTCTGGATGAAAGGAAAATAAATTAGCTCAAACTATGCGCGCGCGAGGAGCTCCCAGCGCCTGCGTATCCTCGCGCGATGTGTTCCTTTTCACTATTCTCGCACGATCGCGCGATTCCGCGATTCCGCGTGACGAGAAAGTTCCCATTATGTCAAAGTCACGTGTGACGGAAATCATTTCTATGACGAAATACTGAAGTTTATAAATGGTTTGTGGCACGCCCGATACAGCTGTTCTGACAGATGAACAAGAAACGGTATTGAATTACGTCACTTACAAAGCATTTGCGTGACGTGTTTGACTTATCTTGTCACTTCCTTTTCGTTTAAGCCATATCACCAAAAGCTAAGTCTCAGGAACTAATTGCTCATGGCCATTTCAATGACAGAAAGAAAAAAAATACCAATAAGAATTTTAATTTTCCCTCAAATGATATCAAAATTTTGCGTTCTGTTATTGGGACGATCGGGCTGTTCTTCGCATGTTTTTCTGATTTTATCAGGCCAGCCAATTGAGCTGTTTCAACAGATGCATTAAACCTTCGCTTTCTTTATCTATGACAACCCAGACTACAAGAGCTTTAAATTATGATCTGCCTTGATCTACCGACCTTTTTAGCTTCTCCACGCGATAAAGCATTCTTTCCCTTGCGCCAATTCTCAGTCGTCAACATGCGTTTTAGGCAATATTTTCATGATATTTGACACAGCTTTATTTCTCGTACAGTAAATACACGACTTACCGCATTTCATTATCCAGAAGCAGGAAATTAACGCCACCAACATTCCTCTTAATAACGGCTCGCTCATTCTTTGACTTGGGGTAAAGCTCCTAGAACATAACTTTGAATAAATAATCAATTATTTTTAAACAAGCGTTAAGTCTTGTATATGCGCGTGAGCGATATTTCGTAACAGTATAAAACACATGGGTGGATATTACATCTGTATAATATTGCACCGATAATGACGTGTTTTCCGGGGGTTTAAAGTCAAGCTGCGAAATGATGTTCCCATTAGAAACTCATGTTAACATGACAGATATGCGAGGATCTCACCGAAATAAAAATAACAAAACTACTCTGCTTGCGTTAACTGATACTAAAATAACACAAGCTTAAATCCCCTTGACAATTTTTGTTTTCTCTAGCACGCTTGACGAAGCTGATGAAGCCTATATAAAGAATATAAATGTTTCATGCATTGGTTGATCAATAATCATTCGCGAAAAAGTCATGAGCTCAAATATGGAAACATTTTTACATTGTTTAATTTGTTACAAACACAGTCTAAAATTAATCGGGGAATTAAACACTTGCCGTTTTTCAGCCTTTCTTCTTGTGCCAACGTTGTGACTCAAGACATGTTCACACGATGTTTTATCACGTGTGGTCTCCAGGAATTTTTTGGGCTAAACATTACCGCGCAGATTATTGGTCTTTTAGTGTTGCCGATATATAGTGCATGTCTCCTATTGATATGTTACTTTAAAAAACTGTGATTTACGTAAAAGAAAAAGCTGCGAGGAAACCCCGCCCTGGAATTTTAATCTTCTTAGAAAAATGGTGCTCAGTTCGTAGTCCAGAAATGAACACAGCAAGATGTTTTACATGGGCGGATCCAGGGGTGGTTCGGTCGGGCCCCCGTAAACTGAAATGATTAATCACGCCTAAAAGCGTTTCGCTTCTGATGAAAACCTTAACTGGACAAACGTCGCTAACAAATAGTACACGTTATCTTTTGAAAAAAATGACTGACTTCAAAAGGGCAAAAATAACATTGATGATTATGACGATGTCGTGAAGTCAAAGAATTGCTGAACGACAACCTCGGAGATCCCATTTTTGAGGAAACTTTTAAAAGCGTGATTTATTAAAGCACTTATCGTTTACTCTAATTTTAGTTTTATTTAGTAAATTGGTTTCGATCATGATTGTAAGTACCTAAGCGCTGCCCTTGTTTCCGCTGCTCAAAACTTTTTAAGCTAAAGTCGAGCAAAATGAGTAATGAATATCAACAAGATGCGGATTAAAAAACATCTCTTAAAAAGAGAATTAAGTTTAAAATCCAGGACTCTTAAAAAAGTGTAATGAGATGCATAACTGCCGCTTGGTCGAGAAACAGGCTTTGGGAATAGGTTGGTTCGCCGGGGGGGGGGGGGGG